ACAATTTATTAATAATGGAGCCAAAAACACAAGAAAAAGTCGAGCATACTTTAACCTTAAAAGGTTTGTTAAGTAATTTAAATCATGAGATTTATTTTTATAGGAAAAGGGTAATAATTATATTCTTTTTAGTTATGAGACTTACCAAGCCAGCATTAAGTAGTCCTTTAATAGTTACTAATGAATCAAAAGATCTGCCGGAGGATATTTTAAATAATGATCTTAAAAATGACATAACAACAGTAAATGAAACTGAAACATTAGCTGTTGGCCAGTTTTTATTAATTCCGCAAAGCTTTGGAACAATACATCTAGGAGAATCTTTTTTAGGATATATTTTAATTCATAATGATAGTAATCAAATAGCTAAAAATGTTCATGTAAAAGCTGATCTTCAAACTGTTACTCAAAAAATTCCTCTTTTAGAACACAAGTTAAGCGAGCTTAGCCCACATAAAACAATAGATCAAGTAATAAATCATGAGGTTAAAGAAATAGGAACTCATATGTTAGTATTTTAATATTAAAAAAAATGATTTTTGTTGTAAGATTTAATTTCTAACTTTTATTATATTTTTTTTTTTTTAGATTAATATGTGAAACAAATTATTCAACACCAAATGGAGATTCGCTTTCTTTTCCAAAGTTTTTTAAATTCGAAGTTAAAACACCACTCGATCTTAAAACCAAATTTTACAATGCAGAAGTAAGTAATAACATCAATTTATTTACTAAATAACTTATTATTACTTAAAGTAAAGGATATTTTATTTCAAAATTCTTTTCTAAATTCTTTTTATGTGTTTTTTATAAAATTTTTAAAATTATTTTTCAATCAATTTTTAATATTGAAACATTTTTTGTGTTTAAACGTTTAAAATCAAAATAATCTTTGCTTAAAAAAGCTAATTCATTCACTACATTTCTCTCATCGATATTATTATTATTGAATTTTAAAATTATTCAATAAGCTTTCAAGCCAGCATATACATGTCGATCTAAACATATCAAATAATCAGTATGATCATTTAATGATCAATAAATTTTTTTATGATTGGATATTAAACTTTTTAAAAAAAAATAATTATTAAAACTTTTTCTAAAATATTATTCAAAATATGATTACTAAAAAAAAAAAACTTAAAATCTAATACTTGATTTTATTTGTTTTTACTGCATGATTACTTTTGGCACTACAACTTATCAATTAAATCAATTTTAATGATTCAGGATTATGTAGTAAGTTAAATAACATCATAAATAAATCATTCGTTTTGTGCATGTTTCATTATCTTGTTGTTTTCCTTTTCTAAAACCAAAACTTTTTTTTTTTGTTACTTAAATTACTTATCGATAAAAGAAAATTTTATCAAAACTTAATCGGAATTTTAACTTTTTTTAAAGTTTTTTTTTTTTTTAAAAGGAGATATTTAAACATCTCATTCATTCACTTAATAGATAAAAGAAATTTTAAAAAAATGTTTAATTAACATGTCTTCAATTTAAAATTATAAAAATTTAAAAGAGTAACTTTATTCAATAGTCATTATTTTATATGTCATTATTAAAATTTTTCAAATAATCATTTTTACATTATGAAAATTGTAATTTCTATTTCTTTTTAAAGAAACCAAAACTTAATTTGTTTTAATTTTTTTTATATAGCTTAAAGTTATTATTATTAATATTCCAATAAATTGTTTTTATATAGTTCATAATGTATGAATGTAAATTTAAAATCCTTTTGTCGAAGATTTCAACCATCGAAATTATTTCTTTGGTTTTATTACATTTTGTTTGTTGCTTTGATGTTTCCCTATTGTATACGTCTGTTAGAACGTTTCCATTTTGTTTGTTTTTTTACCAGGCATGATATCATACCTTAGGACCTTTTTTTTTGTCGCTGTTGTCTTTGGTTTAAATGAATTTAAGTTAGTAGTACAACATACAAATATTACTTCAAGGACATGACATTAAGTTTTTTTTTTTTTTTTTTTTTCAGTCCGATGAAGTTTTTTTGGAAGCACAAGTTCAGAACATAACGGCTGGACCTATTCACTTAGAGAAAGTATCCTTTGAATCATCAGATTTATTTAAAGGTATATGAGAATAAATAAAAGAATAATATGTACTTTTATAGTTTTATGATGCATTAAAAACTATAAAAATTTCAATTTTTTTCCAGTGTCATCCCTATATAAAACAGACGAAATAAAATCCGACGATTCTCTTTTACAACCCAATGAATTTAGACAGTATGTTTATTGCTTGACACCTATTTATGACTCTGATGGTAGTCATTTATTCGGTGCTACTAATATCGGAAGATTGGATATTGCCTGGCGGTATAATTTAGGTGAAAAAGGAAGGTTACAAACTAGTCAATTACAAAAAATGGTAAATAATATCGAGTTTTATTAAGACGGTAATAAGGTTTCAGTTGTGAAAATGATAAAAATTTAATTATTATTTTTTTTCAGGCACCGGATTTTGGAGAAATTCGTTTGTCGGTACATAATTTGCCCAATATTGTTAAAATAGAAGAACCTTTTAAATTTTTATGTAAAATATCTAATCTTAGGTCAGTACAAATGAAAGTCCTTTAGCGAAAGAAAGTGAGAAATTTATCATCAATCATTTTAAATATTTATTTTATATTTATATTTTAGCAAAAGAGCTATGGATTTAGTTTTGAGTTTAGAAAAATCTCATCCTGATCTTGTTTGGATAGGTACTTCCGGTCAACACATTGGAAAATTAGACATTGGAGGTTCAAAAGTAATCGAACTCACTTTGGTTCCATTATCAGCAGGACTTCATAACATTTCGGGAATAAGGTTAAAAGATTTATCTTTAAGTAAAATGCATAACTACGATGACGTAGCACAAATATTTGTTACTTAAATTATTAATTAATTTATTTATTTAAAAAAAAAAAAACAAAACAAAACAATCAACTAATTTTTTATCATATTGAAATTAAATTTATTATTATTATTATTAGTGCTTGAAAATAGGTACTGTACGACATAGTATCGTTAATTTTCACATTAAATATGTTACTGTGCAATAGAAAATAACTACTAATGTTAAAAAAAAAAACAATAAGAAAGAAATTTAAACTTGAGTTTTTGTATCTTATTTTCAAGTTAAATTATTTTTTCAAAAAATGACCAATTATGCCCCAGTTTTTGTAATTCATTTTTAGTTACATCTAGTTTGGGTTCTGTTATGTAATCAGTTATTTTTTCATTTTTAATTAAATTCCAATTTTCTTTAAATTGCACTGGAGTAAAATCATATATGAATTTCCAATTTTTATTGGCCGAGTTTAAATTAGCTTTTGCAAAATGATCAATAATTCCATTGTAATATAATTGATAGCTTCCAAAATAAATATCACTTGATGCTTCAATTATCGGTTGAGTCGCACAAAACAAGAAGACACTTATTTTCATGCTATCTCTCATACGAAATTGACCGCAAGCTATAACGCATGAACACGACTTGCAATTTCGAATAAATGCACTGAGAAAATAAAAGAAAAAACAAAAGTTAAAAGTTTTATTGACATATAATATTTCCAAAAAAAAATTTATAAATAATAACTTACCTTCCTAAAATTGGACCCAAAACTATTTTACAGTTGATACAATCGTCTATTGTTATTGTGTTTATAAAATCAAATATATATATAGTGGAATCTTTACAATTTTGTATAATAAACTGTTGGCCATTAATTGAACCTGGTATTTTAATTTCTTCTTCATTTTCCAAATTTTCAATAATAAATTGTTTGGAATCAAAAGAAGAATTACGTTTTTTATCCCTTTAAGAAATAATAACTACCAGAAATATGCAAAAAAATGATTTTAAAAAAATTTTAATGTACTTACCTACCAACTGTATGTTTTTTTTTGTACTGTTTCATGAAAGGATTCTTTATCTGTATCTTTTGCACATAAACAACCCATTTTTAAATTTAAGTACTGAAATTTGAAATTGTCGTTTCTAGGAAACGGAATTAAATTATGTTTCATGTTTGCCAACTTATTTTTTTTTTTTTTTGAATTTGAAATAATATTTTTTTTAAAATGTTAATTGAAATGTTTAGCATTTATTTGTAATGATTTTTCATCATAATTATTTTATAATATCAAACACTAAAATGAAAAAAAAAAAAAAAACAGTAAATATGTATTCTTTTTTTGATATTACATAATTATGTTGGCTGCGTGATACTATTGGCGCCAATTTTAAAGTTGTCTGCTAACTTAATATAGTTCAGTTAAATGTTAAGTAATTTTGAATAATGTATCAAATATCACCAAGAGTTCAACGAGAAGTTGAAAAATTAATTACAAATCCACCATTTGGTATTACTTGCTGTCCTCTAAATGAAAATTTAACAACATTGCAAGTTTGTAAGTATTATCAGTTATCAAAAAATATTTATTTAAATATGTAAAAAATAAATTATGAATTAACAGGTATTGAGGGTGGCCTAGATTCTCCTTACAAGAATGGTTTTTTTAAATTGGCCGTAGAAATACCACATAAATATCCATTTATTCCTCCACGAGTTTATTTTCTAACTAAAATATATCATCCTAATATTAATGAAGAAGGAAGAATATGCATGGATATATTGAAATGTCAGCCAGAAGGAAATTGGAGGCCTACTTTTACAATAGAAAGTATATTGATTGCTGTTCAGCTATTAATGAGTCAACCTAATCCTGAGGATCCATTGATGGGAGCCATTGCAAACGAATATAAATTCAACAAAATAGAATTTGATCGTAAGGCCTCCGAATGGACATTAAAATATGCTAGTGAGTTTTTCTTAAAAACTATTATTTTACTGTGTTTGTTCTAGTAGTATTTACAATAAAATTAAGTAAGAAATGAATGCAATCATAACACAAATAAAATTTATTTTTTTTTGCAGCATCAAAAAATACTGATATTGACGAAAATTAAACTTCTTAAATAAGTGATTTAAAAAAAAATAGAGAAAACATTATATGTAAGTAAAATTTATTTGTATATAATTTTAATGGCAATTTGTGCAACTGTGTTTTTTTTTTATTAAGGTTTTTTAAATTAAAATGTTTTGTTTTTTAATTTAATATTCAGAATTCAGAAAAACATCACAAGTTTTGTAATATTAAGCCCTTTACTTATTTAATAAATAAAAGAATTATTATAATAAATCATAAATATATTCCAGACAAAATATATAAAAAAAAAAAGCACTTTACATGTAAGTGTGAATAATTTTAAAAAAGTAATCTGAATAAATTATGACATTTTACAAAATTATTCAAACATTTCAATAAAAATGAAATAAAATAAATTTAAATTTCAGTTAAACAGTACTGTTTAAAAAAAAAAAATTTAATGTTTCAAAAAATTTTTTCTCAGCTAATGTTTAAAGGTAATATAATTCAATTCTAATAAAATAAGAATTTATTAAAATTTATTAGCGATATTAATTAATTATTTACTACAAATTCTTGATATTATTCGATTTTCATTTAAACCACTACTTAAATCGATATTTATTTAAAATTTAACTAGTAGGGACATTTGTCCAATTTCCTGTTAAATTTTTATTTTTTGCAAATGAACAATTAAATCTGTTTTTAGTAGACATCAAGTAATGCTTTATTCGAACTTGGTCATTGGTAGTTAGTTTTTTTTTATGAAAATATCCCAGTGCTGGAAAAATTACTGCAGCCGCGACTCCTGCTTGTCCTGATTTACAAACAATTCCAGTAGCAATACTTGCACCTAACCCTCCAATAATATGATTAAATTCATCATCTTCATGACGATATCTAGCCACATAATAAGTAGAAGCAGCATAAGCAACTCCTACAAAAAATGTATTCAATGCACTCCTGAAACATATTTTTGTCATTTGACTATACGTCTTTGCATTATACAGATTTATATATTGTAGTATTCCGATGGTCCATCCAAGGGGTATTGAAAGTTTACTGACTGTAGCTATTTTTCCAACTAAATCTTCTCCATCTGGTTTTTTGAAATTATTAAAAAAATTAAATTTTGGAAAACCACCTTTTTCAGATCTTAAAAAATAAAAATCCTTATCGTTCATTTTGAAAACACTGAAAGCAGACGATAAGTCATAGAGTAAATAAAAATTAATGCTTGAAGAAAAAAAAACTCTCGTTGGTTTTTTTCTTCTTCTTATTCTTTTTAATTTAATAAATTTTAGGTATATTTTTATTAATATATAATTCAAATTTTCGTTCGAAAAAAAAAAAAATTATTTTTTGGGTTAAGAATACATAAAATTTATATTAATTTAGAAAATTTTTCTTTAAGAGAAAAAAAAAATGACGTTTAAAACGAATCCTTCTTATTGAAAAATTCATTTTAAAAAATTAATTTTTTTTTTTTTTCGGATCGAAAACTTGTTTTTAACGTTCCAGTTTTTTTTTTTTTTTTTTTAAATTTTAAAACAATAAAAAAAACTTCATTATTATTATACTTTAAATCATTTTTAAAATATTTTATTGAAAAAAAAAAAAAAAATCAGAGCGAATTTAAAAATTATTAACTATTTTATTAGTTTAAAAAAAAAAAAAGAAATAAATAATCAAAGGATTTCATTATTTATTATTATTATTATTTACTGAATGCAATGAAAGAAAAGAAAGAAAAGATGCTGCGAAAGTATTATTATAAACGTTTATTTTTCAAGTCGACGACTAGAATCAGGTACGAGGGATTTGAAAGTAGGCTCTTTAAAGCACTCTAGCGGCAGGTTCAAGAAACTCTTTTTTTTTTTTTCGTACAACACTTCACTTGAAAACGTAAAGCGGTTTCAAAATCAACTGTGATATTAGACTTGTCGGATATATAAAAAAATTTTTTTTTTTTCTTTTTCTTTTTTTTTATTTACTCTTTGTTTTTTCAGGTATTTTGTGAATGTTAACATTTTATTCAAGTGCAAAAAAAAACAAAAAAATTATTTTAAATAAGTAAAAAATCTTCCAACATCGTCGGATTTATTTTTTATTTTATTATAACTGGATTACTACTACTACAACTACTTACATTTCAAAGGTATTTATAACATTTTCTATTATTATTATTATTATTTTTTATTTATGAAAATACTACATTCTCGATTTAACAAACAACAACAACAACCAAGCATCGAGTTTGTATTTTATTATTAACTTTATTTTCGAGTCCATGAAATTTTTATAGTGAATCTCATGGTCACCACTTTTTTTTCCCTACGATTATTTTTAACGATTTAAAAATTTAAAATAAAAAAAATTATTATTATTATTGTTTTTTAATACGACGTACGAAATATTTAAAACGTAATTAATAATAATAATAATAATAATAATAATAGTAATTTTTAATATAAATGATATAAATTAAAAATATATAAACATGCTAAATAATTTTAAAACCAGGTATCTACAAGTTTTTTTTTTAAATGCATTTTACGATTGTTTTGTTTTTTTTTGGGGGGGTTATAAATAATAATAATAATAATAAGGAGAGAAAACGGTGCTTACGTGTATTATTATTATTTTTTGAAACTTTTTTGTGGTTTTAAAAAGAAAAATTTAACGTCGAAGCAAAGTTTTATTTTTAACACGATTAATAATTAGCCAAACGTTTACATAAATTTACGTTAAAGAATTTCCCACCCCCCCCCCTCACAGTGTAGTTTTGTTTTGTTTTAACATCAATTGCTAAAGAAAAAATTTTATTTTATTTTGCGTATGTAGTTCAATTATGCAGGTTATTATGGTTGTTCGATAGCATAGCATGTGGTTTCCATTTTGATCCATGAATCAATATAAAAAAAAAAAACTGGTCTTTTTCTTTTTCGGCACATTCACTTGGCATTCAAAAAATTGAACAAAAAAAAAAAAAAAAGAAAAAAAAATTTGTGTCTTTAAATACTTTAGGGCAATACGAACAAAAAAAAAAGTATTTTTAATTTTTTAAATGTGACAGAAATCTTTTATATATATATATATATGTTTGAATTATTTTAATTTTTTTTTTCCATAAAACGAAAAAAGGTTTTTTTTTTTAAATAGGGATTTAAATTTTTTCATTTAAATTTTTTTTTACCGTTAAAACAAGAACGAATAATCAATTTAATAAAAAAATAAAAATATTTTACTGTAATTTTTTTTATAATAATAATAATAAGCGAAAGATAAAAAAAAAAAAAGTGAAATAAAAAATTACTGTTTTGTTTGAAGGTAAGCAAGTGTTGAACAATATTTTTTTATTTTTTAGGTTGGGCAGGGAAAGAGCAAAAATCCTCCGTTATATTATCCGTTAATTAATTATTTTTTCAATAATTTTTATTTTTTTTTTTTATTGAAGAAGAAGCGGTTAGAAGTTAACAATTATATTAAACTTTGATTTAAGAGAGAGATAGAGAGAGGGGAGAGAGAGAGAGAGAGAGAGAGAGAGAGAGAGAGAGAGAGAGAGAGAGAGAAACAGAATTCTAAAAAAAAATTTCTTTCTTACTTTTACCCTTTAAGTAATTTTTTTTTTGAACTTGCTAACAAACCTTAATCCACGTGGATACAAATTATACACGTGTGTGTGTGCGTGTGTTTTATTTTTAATTTATATTCCGGAGAAAAAATTTAATCAAAAAAAATTGTCAGTTAGATCTTACAAACGAAACAGTAAAATTTTACGTATATAATAAAAAACTTTCCCTCGTTATTATTATTATTATTATTATTATTATTAATAATTTACAGACTTATAATCAGAGCATTTAGGTATCCGTAAGGTTCAGGTTTTTTTTATAATTTAAACTAAAAAAATTGTTTTTTTTTTATACATAAAAAAGGACGCGTAAAGTGATATACTGCTTTCATAACAGTTTCATCCCCTAATTATTATTATTATTAGTTCATAAAATGCAAATATTGGGGGGGAAATAATATATTTGCAATATGTCGGATAGGAATGAAATTTAGGCGTTTAAAAAATAATTTTAGGTACGGATAAGGTTTCCAGCGTTATTTTTTAAAAAAAAAAAAAAAAACGCAATTGAGTAAATAAAGTATAAAACAAAATGACTAGCATTTTTTTTTTTCAAAATGTCCGATTAGCCTTTTATCACTTATAAAAAAATAAATAAATGAGGTTACTCGAAAAAAACTTTTTTTTACGACCCATTGTTGTTATTATTATTATTATTCATTTACTTAACGCACGACTATTGAATCAAATGTGAAATTATGCAAATAAATAAATAAATAAAAAATCTTTTTCACTCGTGAGTATTCAAATCAAATGATGATGAATCGAATAAAAAATGAGAAAAAAACCTTTCGAGTGTTTTTTTTTGATTGGTCGGATGAATTTATTTATTTATTAAAAAAAAAAAAAAATTGATCGAAAGCGGATATTTATTACAAAAAAAATATTAAAAAATGAAATTTTTTTTTTTCGAGTTCAACCAACTTAGTAGGTCAAGAAATTTTGTCAGAATTTATTATTATTATTATTATTATCATTATTATTATCATCATCATTATTATTTTTAAGCTTAAAACGTGCCTCCAATAATTTATAGGTTGATTTTTATCCGTGATTAAAGTTATAGGCCTGCGATAGATTTTTTTTTTTGACTTCCGTGATGATCTTTTTTAAAAAATTGACTCGTTTGGTCGTGAATAGATAAAAAAAAAATTTTTTTTTAAATATATTTTGGAGTAAATAATATTTTTAAAAACTCCATGTTAATTTATCATCATTATCATTATCATTATTATTATTAGTTTTTCACCTATAAATAAATTAAAACAAATATGGTTTTCAATATCAATGCATGCTTATGATCGATATCAATACAATATTACAATTTTTTTTTTCGATCCCTTTCCGGAAGTGTAGAAGGGAGAGAGGGTGGGGGAGGGAGGGGCGTATTGAAAAAAAATTTTTTTTCCATTTAAAAATCAAAATGGCGTTTTCGAATTTTATTTTTTAATATGAAATTTTAAAGTTTAATAATAATATCATTTCGATTAGTTTTTTTTTTTTATTGGCGTTAATGATAAACCCGGAGGAAAATTTTAATAAAAAAATAATAATAATAATTTTTTCGGTTTAGTTCAAGGTTCGAGACGTTGAGTGAGAGAGGGAAAGAGAGAGAAAGAAAATAAGCAAATAAAAATGTCGACTCGATCCTGACAAAAAAAAAAAAAGGTTCGAGGCAGTAAAAAAATTTTTTTTTTTTTTTTTTTTTTGTAAAAGTCAATTAATCAAAATTACAACCGATAATAATAATAATAATTTAAAAATATGCTAATTTTTTTTTTACTAAATTGCGACGAATATGATATATGTGACATTAAATCCAAATTTTAATAATATTAATAATAATAATAATAATAATGGAGAAAATTTCCTCCTTTGAATTTTTATCGATTTCTTAATTTAAAACAAAAAAAAATTTAATTTATCCGTTGTATGGTTGTGCGCTTTGATTCTTTTCGTTAAAAACTTCCAAATTTCAAATTTAAATTATTTAACGGTCGATTTGATGATAGCTGTAGAAAAATTAAAAAATGTTTGACATTGATAACGTCGTCGTCGTCATAATGACGTCACATTTCTTATCATCGCAGGGTTAATTAACTTTACGTTAATCTCATCCATTAAATTTTAATCTTTTTTTTTAAGGAATTTAAGGAAAGAATTTTGTAATTTATCCCCTTTTTTAAAAAAATTAATACCTTAACTCTGTAACTCTTCTAGAACTTTCTAAATAAAAAAAAAATTATTTTTTTAATAAATAAATAAATAAATAAAATTTATCGATATGTATAAAATGAGGTCAAATAATTCACGAAATTATCATCAAGGTCCGTATCAATTAATTTTTTTTTTTCGTTTTTTTTTCTCCAAAATTCTGGAAATCTGGGAACGTAAAAAAAAAATAATAATAATAATTAATGTGAGAATTTTTTTTCTTTTTTTTAACGGTTATTTACATAAATTTATGAATTTTTATTAAAATCATTCAATCGTAAAAATATTTAAGCGAAATAAAAAAAACAAAAAAATTTTTATAATAAAGAAGTTCAA